TTTTTTTTTTCCCCTCTCAGGCCACCCCACCCCCTTCACTGCCCCACCCTCGCGCCTGGGAAGAAAGGCGACCCTCTCCAGGGTCCTCCCTTTCTTCCGCCGGTCCGGGTCCCTACCTTGCAGCAGGCGCCCAAGCCCGGGCAGCATCTTGTCTGGACGCTCGGGGGAGGGGGCGGCGGGGGGAGGGCGCTACCGCTCGCTCCCTTAGCCCGCCGGACGGACGGCGGGGACTCCGCGGGGGCTCCGGGTGACCCGGAGAGTCCCCCGGGCTACGTGGCCGAGCCGCTGCGACCTACCCCGCGCCCCCGGGACTGCCAGCCTCTGAAGGAGCCATCGGCCCCGACGGGGCGGGGCGCGATGGGGTGGAGAGGTCTGAGCTGACTCTGAATGCCTGGTGTCCGCGCCCCCTCGGCAGCGTGGGTCCACCGGGAGTCGGTCAGTCGGTCTGTCCGTGCGCCCCGGCTGCTAGCGGAGGGAGAGTGGGGACAGCGAGGAAGCGCTCCCCCCCTTCCCGCACTCTCTGGCTCCTCCCTCGCTTCCCGGCTTGCCGATTTAACCCTTTGCTGACCACTAGGAGTTGGGAGTGGTTCTTCGTCTAACCTACTCCATCTCGGCCCCCTCCCAGCCTTGGGGGATCGGGAGGGCAGTGTTCCCATCGCCTTCGCGGCGTCATGCTTCTAGAGAAATCCCTTTTTGGGGTGCGTATGCTCGTGGTAGTGTTAAGGAACCCCAGTGGACTTGTCCGGGTTTTCCTCTCTTAACTTTCCCAGAAGACGTGGGGTTTCTGGGTTGTTTCCCTCTCAGCGCCCCTCCTCCTGCCCTGTCCCTCACGATCGTTTGGGTCCCCTGGGTGAGCTCCAAGATTCCACTTTCCTTTCCACGCCTGTCTTCGGAGCCCCACTGTACAGTGTGCACAGTAGTTTGTGTGTGCAAGTGCATTCGAGCGTGCCCGCGTGCGAAGATGCTGGTGCAGGTGTGGCTGAGTGCAGGCAGGCTACCTTTTGTTACCGTCGGGGGAGGGGAGACAGGGGACAATGCGCACTGGTGAGTTGTAGAGGGGCGACCGGCGCGCTGTCTGCGCTGGTGGGTCACACGGGGGATGTAAGCGCGCGATTTTGGGATGGGCG